GACCATACTATGATAGACTGGAAAGTACATGGGGTTTGTTTGTCTGGTTTTTAGTTTTGGTGAAGACCTGGATTCAGATTCTATTTTTATCATTCAAAAGCTGTATAATTTTGGTCATATCATTTGAGAGGATTCTATTTTTGTCTGCAGAATAAAGGTGATGATAATAAAACTATTTATTTCACAGGATAATTCTAAGAATCAAAGGAGGTAATATGCATTGGAACGCTTGGTAATCTAGGAATTATCATACCACAGTTAGTTAATATGGATCAACTTTTCAGCATCTTTTTACTTAGTGCTTGCTTGTTTGTTGTGGTACTAGAGATTGAGCCACCGATTTGCTCTATCATTGAACTATTATCTCCAGCCCCTTGTATTTATTTTCAAAATTTTTATTTTGAGGCAGGGTTTTGCTAAGTTGCCAACGCTGGCCTTGCAGTTCTGATCCTTTTGCCTTAGCCTCTGGAGTTGCCACTGTATCCAGCACAAATGAATTTTTAAATATATAAGCACTGCTTGCTTCAGTGGCACACACCTATAATCCCAGCAACTCCAGAATCTAGAGGCAGGAGAATTGCAAGCTCAAGGCCAACCTTGATAACTTAGTGAAACCATGTCTAAAAATTTAGAAAAAGGGCTGTGCTCAGTGGCAGAGCACCCCTTTTGCTGTACTCAACCAATAAACAAGGAACCAAATRATTCATTCATTTTTTTCTTCCTCTTTCTCCATTAGAATGAAGTCCAAACTGCCAAGGATTTTATTCAAATCATAGAGAGTGCAGAAAATGAATATCAGGTAAGAAGACTTGGAACTAATTTTTCTAGATCCTAGTGCCATATTTTTCTGTTAATATATTTGTTAGACCTTTCTCTCTTTTAACTTGAATGCCTATGCTGTTGAGTCAGACCTTTTAATCTGGTATTCTGCTTGAAATTAAGGTTTCAAGTTTGGAAGAGACCATAGCTCTAGTTTAAGCAATATAGATATTTTCTTGGCTCACTTCAGAAATTGAAGAGGAGCTCACTAGAAATAATATAATCTATCCTGTCTAACTCTTGTAATGTAAGCRTGTCCCTTGATAATGAGTTACTTTCCTATTCACAATCAACCTATTTCTGTTCAAGTAACTAACCTTCAATTATCTGTTGCAGACTGCAATTAGTGAAAACTACCAAACAATGTCAGACACCACATTCAAGGCCTTGCGCCGGCAGCTTCCAGTTACCCGCACCAAAATTGATTGGAACAAGATACTCAGCTACAAGATTGGCAAAGAAATGCAGAATGCTTAAAGGCTGACTGTAGGATTCTTCAGTATGTAGAAAGAAAAGGATTCAACATGTGGTCATATGATAAATAAGTGATTTATAAACAAGAGTGATATTTTGCTAGGGCTTTCAAAGTTAACAGATTTTTTTAGCCTCATGAAATACTGTTGAACCTATAGCATTGACTTCATCTTTTTGTGTTCTCTGCCTTGTATTTTTCTGTTATCACTATATCTACTTGTAAATCTTTTTTTTTTTTTTCCTTTTTGTTAATTCTGCTACAATTAGTGTTGAAGAAAGATCCATCTATTCTGGGGTCATTTTACTCTTTTAGAAAATTTTCCTAGCCATGAAGTCCTGTTACTGATTTAGACAGATAATATGCTCAGTACTTTTACCCTGTGCTCCAAAGCACTTCTGGTACTTCAGTGCTTTTGACTGATCCACCAACAGCCAAGGAGGCTCTGCTACAAATCGTAGCTAAATGGAAGACACATTCATCCTTCTCCCTCTGACTGCTTTGATCATCATTTATAGCATCTCATAACTATAGTTTTCAAAAGTTTGGATTGAGGCTTTTCAGGTCCATTTTGGGGGGCAAAGGAAGTTTTCTGGAAATTCCATGACAGCCAGCTTCTCTGGGGGGCACTCATTTTTAAATCCAAAGACTTGAACCACATTCCCTGCACATGGAATATGTTTGCTTTCTTCATTCCCTCATTGTCTTCTTCCCACTTAGTACCATTGTAGTTATAGACATCTGCATTTTTAGAAGAGTTTTATTCATGTATTATTTTTTTAAGTATCCAAGAACTACGGACATACTGTGGATGTAGTAAAGYATAAAACTTGAAAATGCAGACTGAAGGAATACATATCTTGTGCTTTAACATTTTGTGGCAGGATTGTACTATAAGCAAATGAATCAACTCTGTAAATCACAAAAACTTAAGATGAACCAAAGTGAAAAGGTAACTTCCAGGCAGTATCTTTCTACTGTAACCTGTTATTTAAGGGAATACTAGTGTTTTCTAAATAGGATGTAAAACTTGTTCCAAATTACTCTTCCTCAGTCCTGCCTGCCAAGAAATAAAGTGTAACTGTGATATAGCAACCCTTCCCAGGTATATTGGCAGGTATGTGTGTGATCTCAGAATACACAGGTGACATAGATATGATAGGACAACTGGTAATGGTGGATTCATTTACATTGTTTACACTTCTATGACCAGGCCTTAAGGGAAGGTCAGTTTTTTAAAAACCAAGTAGTGTCTTCCTACCTGTCTCCAAATACATGTCAAACAAGAAGGGTGTTTGTGCTTCAGCTTTGTCTTTGCTCAGTAATACAGTCAAGCAAGAGTTTGTTTCCAAGTGAATGCTGTGTAAGCATTTTTGTTTATTTCAAATAAAATATATTTGTATTATTTGTCATTCATACTATCCATCCATACCACACTATCTTCTGTATCAGGTAGTTCAATAGAAATATACCCATTTTGTTCTAAAAGTGTCTGAGCCTCTCTCCTTTTCGATGTATCTCTTCAACCTTTCTTCTCAAGGTAAGAAATTCAATGTATTTGATCTTGTTTTAACTTTCTATTAGTTTCTTCTGGGATATGTTTTTCTTCTGTACAACTTCCTCTTTTGTTTTAGTAATAATTTGTTCCTTTTTATCTCTGTAGTGAAGTTTATGATTAGGTTAATCTGACCATGAACTCTGGTGTGCAACAGTACATGTTGGGTGCTTTGTTCACCTGGATCTGTTCAGTGATCAGAGAATCGTCACCTWAAGTTCAGCATTACTTTCTGCATTTTGGGGATATTGGGGGCGGGGTGCCAGGGATTGAACTCAGGAGCACTCAACCACTGAGACACATCCCCAGCCATATTTTGTATTATATTTAGAGACAGGGCCTCACTGAGTTGCTTAGGGTTCACTAAATTGTTGAGGCTGGCTTTGAACTCGACGATCCTCCTGACTCAGCCTCCCAAGCCGCTGGGATTACAGGTGTGCACCACTGGACCCAGCTACTTTCTGCATCTCTGAGCATATCAACAAAAGTTCATTCTGTTTGGGCCACCAACCCTGTGTCCAGCCCCACTGTTTGGCCTGAGCACACCTACCAACTCCACTGTAATACCAGAATATCTTTAAAGTGACAATTTTCAGATGCTTGATGGCTTTTTGGATAGTCATATCCTTGATGGTTTGAGCAGTTTAATGGTCTTATTAAAGTGAATATGCAGATTTCAATCTCTTGGATGATTTTGTAGGGTTTTCTAGGTCAGCTGAGATAAGGAATCATTCTTACAGATCACTTCAGGCTGCTTGCAGGAAGAGCCCTACTTTCAACTATTATGAATGCAGCAAATATCAAAGCTTAGAAAGACAGCTTTTGTTGTTGTTGTGTGTGTATTAGCAAAGTAGGGACCACTCTCCACCCAAAAGCTACCAGCAAGTCAAAGGTTTTGTTGATTTATATTAATGCCCAAAAGAAAAAGTTATCTTCTTTACCCATTATGGATGGCAGTCACTAGGCAGGAAGTCGAAATCATAGAATTCCTACACCTGGAATTTGGGTAATATTTCACATTGCCTTAACTTTAAAATACTGCTTTCCTCTCCTCTAAGTCTGGCTTAGCTACTGATGACCTGTGGGAAAGGCTTTTTATCCTGTTTCCCAAGAGAGAACCAGAGGGAGTTTCTTCACCTTCCACCCAAGGTCAGTTCAAATTCCCACCTTTTTGAGGGACATTTAATGTATTCCAGTCTTGTAATGCAAACAGGTTCAAACATTCTTACCTTTAACTTGACAAACCTTGTCAGCCTATCCCAAACTATCTTATTGATTTCCTTATTCTGGAAAAACTTTAAAAGTTGAAATCTCAGGCTATCTAAAACCCTTGGTTGCTTGTGTAAATGCTAGGAAATCAAACTCCCTTGCCAACTCCTGCAGAGACCACCTGAATTTCTTAACCTTCTTCAGCAGAATAATTGCTTAAATTGTTCCTGTTTTAGCACACAATGATGAAATCACCCTATGGTGTCCTGGGCCAAAGGCTTCCCATAAAGGAGTTTCCTATGAGGCCTCACCTCTATATCTGGGTTTGAAATGACACTGCTGAAGGCTATTTGTTTCATCTGAGCCTCCTGTTTGTCTCTGTTGTTTGCCTAGTTCTAGGGCCAGTTGTTTTATAATCCACCAAAGCTCTAGATGCTAGACTCATGAGATAACTTGGCAAACCTTGACACATTCTCTCTAAATTCAGAAAAGACCAATTGATACATCTGAATGCCAATTTATTAATTTAAAGTTCTATATAGAACTACCAAGTTGAAGCCAGGCATGGTGGTGCATGCCTGTAATCCCAGCAGCTCAGGAGAGTTCAAAGCCAGCCTCAGCAAAAGCGAGGCTCTAGGCAACTGAGTGAGGCCCTGTCTCTAAATAAAATTCAAAATAGGGCTGGGAATGTGGCTCAGTGGTAGAGTGCCCCTGAGTTCAATCCCTGGGACCAAAAAAGAACTACCAAGTGAATCAGACACTCATAACCACCTTCAAGTTGTTTCACAACCTACCCTGAGAAAAGTCAAAGAAAGTTTGGGGGGCTGGGTTTGTGACTTAGCAGTAGAGTGATCACCTAGCACATGTGAGACTCTGAATTTGATCCTCAGCACCACATAAAAATAAAGAAATAAAGATATTGTGTACACCTACAACTAAAAAAAAAATATTTTAAAAAGCATTCTGTTGCTGGGCACAGTGAGTGGTACATGCCTGTAATCTCAGCAATTTAGTAAGAATCTGTAAAAAAAAAAAAAAAAAAAACTGCGTATGTAGCTCACTGGTAAAACTCCCTTGGGTTCAATCCACAGTACCAAAGATAAAAGTATTCTATTATGTATATGGATATACAGGTGATTCTCATTATTCATAGTAGTTATATTTTATAAAGTCTGTGGACATGGAATGGGTGAATACTATGACTTGTGCCTGAATAAAGCTAATCTGAGGAATTTTCACTGGAAAGCCTTCCTGTACTTAGGAACACTAAACAGCACTCAGCACTACCCTTTGGGGCCATTTTAAGCAGCAAAAAACACAAAGTGGCAAAACAGCATCAAATGGTCCATGAAAAGGACACTTTTTTAAAATATGAGGGCTAAAACAAGGCAGAAAAGGACACTTTTTTATAATATGAGGGCTAAAACAAGGCAGAGCATCAGAGTGCTGTGCCTCAGTTGGGAACGTGTGTACTGGGAACTTGCCAACTTTCCACTGCTCTACATGTCCATGAAGGACCAGAAGACCACTGCAAGATGATGTGAGCCAGGCTGGGTTCCACATAAAYTTTACTAAATACATGAATTTGTAAATACAGGATCCTGGAACAATGAGGCTCAACTGTGGTCTGTGGTAGACTGACCAATGTCAGTATTTTAGGTTTAAGAGCTATTTCTAGTTGCCTTAGGGAGTATAGTTTGAACAAGATTGGAGAACATTCAAATTCTGAATTACACAACCCAAGTAACAGTTTGAGTAATGAAAAAACAAAGCTTCTACCTGCAAAGTAGTGTTATTGRGAGATTTACTCCATTAGTAATGTTCGCCAAAGTTAACTTTCAAACTGYCTTCAGTGCTGTTTGGACTCACTAAAATAAACTTTAACTACTTTGAAGTGCAAATAGATTTAAGGAAGGCTCTGCAGAAGCTGTATGTGAAAGGTGAAAACTTAATGAAAGAAGCAGTCTGGGTTTTTCCATGTGGTGGATTTTTATATTGGTCTGAAAACCTCCCACCTCAGTATTATGTATTTGTGGCAGTTATTGAGGTTTCTCYATCATTGGCTTGTGCAATGTAAATGATATTACAATGAACCTGGGATCCTCCAAATGAGAGTGCCCTCAGTGCTCTGTGTGTGCTCCAAAATTGAAAAAGTCCTTTAATCTGGTGACACCCAGTTTTA